AAAAAAAAACAGCCACCCTAGCTTATCTGGTTCTCGAAATAAGCAATCTCAATAGATTTTGGAATTTAAAGTTTCCTTTGACAGTACTAGTATTGTTTCAGCTTCCTAGCTTCACTCGTTATTGGCTTGAAAACACACATGTGCACGCAAACACCAAAAATTTTCTCAACAATACGAGTTTTGAACTGTTAACGATATGGGAAATTTCAGAAAACATACCCTGTCAACAGGTTCCACGCCAAGGCTTTGCGCCGGTGGACCATCCATGATTATGTTAATCCAGAGAATTTGCATCGCATTTAATGGATTTTCAAACTCGAATAACGTCGAGATTGCAATCAATGACAAAGCTGCTACGCTCCTAAAAGAATTTATTGCAGTTTCAATGACTAAATCAAAATTTTTAAATAAAGGTAGTAACTTATGAAAAATTTTATAACTAAAAACTTTTGCGTGCCGAATACGTATGGTTCGGTTCGATTTGTATCGCCGCTTCTACCCGTAACACTGACGCGAAACTCGTGACTTAAGCCGACCGCTGGTAAATCTATAAAAATACCCCATAGCACAGGTGTCGGTATGCTAGGGATTGAAAAGGTTTCCAACATCTTTTCGAATAGTCTTCAAACGTGTGAGCAAGGTCACTTTAAGCGAATGCGGTACCGTACTAGTCTTTGCAGGAATGCGGTATTTTACAAGCACCAAAACACGATGTGCGATATATGACAGAACTGCTACCAAATTAGGAGACAAAAAATACGAAAAAAGACTGATCAAAGTGACAAGCAATTAAATACTAAGAAGAAAAAAGACTTCACAGCGCAGTCATTTTCGCAGTCTTTCTCCCGCTGATTATAATTTCTCTATGCCCATAATGTTCACTCGATTCGTAAGCTATAATCACAACATCTGCGCGAAGCTACTGGTTCTTCAGACTGATTTTGAAGTGGGATAATTAAAAGAGGGAAGGAAAACTTACGTGCTCAACTGAAAACGTACAAAATTAGTGATGTTATGATATATGCCTTTGCCTTCTTCAATTGCCGCTCGAATTGTATGGAAATCGTCGTCTGTGAGTATCATATCTGCTGCTTCCTTAACAATCACATGAACATTTAAGGCTTTTTGAATTTGTGCACGTTTTTTCAAGAAATTCCCAAAGTTCATCACCACCTTGCAAACATCAGTGCCTGTTGCACCCATTGCAATGCCAATATCGGCCTTCTTTAGCGCAACCGCATCGTTGACACCATCGCCAGTCATTGCCACAACTTCGCCTAAACGTTGCAGTGCCTGAAAAG